CATGCCATGCGATAAATGGTTACAAACGTTCTTTGTGGCCGAAAAACTTCCGAACGAAATGAAAGCTTCACGCCGAGAAATTTTACCATGGAACGAACTTAACATGAACTTTATTTTACGGCATTAGGCAATGTTGGAGAAATGGGAAACAGATGCATGCTGTCTGAAAAAGAAACGGAAAGCCTGTGCATGTGGAAACCGTAGAAACAGGAAAATCTGATATGAACTCACAAGAACTTAAAATTCAAAACACCAGATGCAAACTGTCGAATGCCATGGTCAAGAACTTCTAACAGTAGTGGTGAAGAAGCCTGTTTTTTTTTTTGATTCTACTTCGCTTTCTTTTTTTATCGTGCGGTCCATTGTTTTCCATTCACAGGCTTTTTTTATCCTGTGGTGTGCCACATTTTCGAAAGTTTCTTCTCTGGTTTCCGAAAATTTGTAAATTCTCTGCAGCTTAGGTTTCCAATTTCCAGTTTGCACGATAACTTTTTCATTGCACATGCTCCACAATTGCTGCCGTTTTGTAGTTTATTGTGTTCTCCACACGTTATCTGCTTTCTTTCCATGTGTGGTCTGCTAACGGCTTTTATGTTGGCTGCCGAAGATTTCTACCTTTGCTGTTCAGACTTATTCAAGAGCTTCGGATTTCGCAGGCATCCGGATGCCATTTTGTTTTTTGATTTGGGTGTCTGCTGTAAGTCTCCAGGCGCAGGTTTCTCTCTATTTCTGCAGACTTTGGTTTTTTTAGTTTGTCAGGTTTCCATTTGCAGTTTGGCCTTCTGGTTTCGCTTTCCTGTAGTTTTCTTCCAAGATTTCGTTTGCCAATCAAATTTTCTGTGCCGTCTAAAAGCCCGCTTCTGGGTCTGAAAATTGTCAAAATTTTTGCCAAGTGCTGGAGGGCTCTCCAGAGTACGTTTTTTTGGGTCAGAGTTTGGGGTTCGGGGTGTTTGAGATTTTGGTGGGTTGTAGGGTTTAGTGTTTAGAATGTGTCTTAAGATTTGGTGGGTTGTAAAGTTCAGGGTTTCGAATGTGTCTTGAGATTTTGGTGGGTTTTAGAGTTTAGGATTTAGGATGGGTCTTGAGATTTTGG